ACCAATCAAGGGGGCAGCTGACTTGTATATAGCTTCCCCTTAAACTCACTTCCTGAGTTCATGAACTTTAAACTTTTTGGGAAGACCATTTTAGTTGTAAATATAAAGTTTTGACTTTTTTGGGGCCATCCACTCAGCAAGTGAGTAAAACCGAGGCACATGGAGATTAAGATCGACGCCAACAATCCGGTTATGATCCAGCGAGCTCGGGAGCAGCTCGAGGAGGCGGAGAAGCGAGCGGATGCCCTGAAGACCCTCGGCGGCCCGCACGGGTTGGTCCCGGGAGTCTGTCAGGGGTCTCTGTCTGGAGGTGTGTCTGAGTAATTGTATACTTGTGGTTTCCACATCGGTGCTCCTATATACGTATATGGGTTTGTCTTTTTTTGGTGTGTTGAGTTGCTTCAAAAGGCAGAAGGTGGGACCTCCCCGAATCATACCCCCGAATCATACCCCCGAATCATACCCCGAATCATACCCCCGAATCATACCCCTTAAAACGTATGCTGCAAGATGCTACTGTTCTTCTACCGTTTTGTGTTGTTCACTGCCTCCACAACAACACTACTACTCCAATTACTACTACTACTACTACTACTACTGCTACTACCACTACCACCGCTACTACCGCTGCTACTGCTACTCTACTGTACTTCTGCTTCTGCTACCTTTACTACTAACTACTACTACTACTACTACTACTACTACTACTACTACTACTACTACTACTACTACTACTACTACTACTACTACTACTACTACTACTACTACTACTACTACTACTACTACTACCTTTATTACTACTACGACTACTACTTACTACTACTACTACTACTACTACTACTACTACTACTACTACTACTACTACTACTACTACTACTACTACTACTACTACTACTACTACTACTACTACTACTACTACTACTACTACTTCTACTACTACTATTCCTGCTGCTGCTGCTGCTACTACTCACTGCTACATACATCATTCTGAGTCTGTAATCAGTGCCGTTTTGCACCTAGCCGCGAATCATACCCGAATCATACCCGAATCATACCCGGACAATGAGCTTCCCCTGGCAAGGCTAGTGCCAAGTCTTTTTCAAAGCGTCCGCACCACTACAGCCGCTGCTGTAATGCCAAGGCCGGAGCCAAGTCTTTTCAAAGCTTCCGCGCCACTACAGTCGCTGCTTCTACTGTTACTACTACTACTACTGCTACTACTACTACTACTACTACTGCTAGTACTACTACTACTACGACTACTGCTACTACTATTTACTACTACTACTACTACTACTGCTAGTACTACTACTACTACTACGACTACTGCTACTACTATTTACTACTACAACTACTACTACTGCTGCTGCTGCTACTAGTACTACTATTATTACTACTACTACTACTACTACTATTGTTACTACTACTACTACTACTACTACTACTGCTGCGGCTGCTGCTGCTGCTGCTTCCGCGAATCATACCCCCGAATCATACCCCGAATCATACCCGCGAATCATACCTGCGAATCATACCCCGTACTCAAACCTTCCTGCCCGGCCACCGTAAATAAATACAAACCCATATATCTGTTTTTATATATACATAGATATATATATATATATATTTGTCACTGGTCTCTATATATGAGTGTGATGGTGCCCTGAAAAAAAGGGTCTATATTTTTGGCGGTTCCCATATGGACGTGTGTCTGAAAAAGAGGGGACACCAAACAATGGTTGGTTTCCTTTTGGGCTTGCAGTTTAGAGGTTGGGTCCTTTTGCGCTTGGCTGGTTTCTTTTTGTTGGGTCCCTTTTTGGGAGTGGTTTTAAAGGAAACCCAAAAAGAAAACATACATTTCGAGCTTGCAGTTTTTGAGAGACAGTCCTGAACACTGGAGGGGTCCTTTTTGATTTCGAAACCGGGTGCTCTTGGTTTCTGATGTCACGGGTCTCTCTTACACATGGGGCGCCCAAACAATTGCAGATGTCCTTTTGGCTTCCCTTTAAAACCTGCAAAAGAAAAAATCTCCCTGAAGAAAAAACACTGACCCATATGCTCCATTCTTGGCGGTCCCCAGCGAATCGTCCGGTCCAACTTACGTAGGCTTTTAGTTGTTTTTAGTTTGTGTAGTGGTTGGGTTTCCATTTGGGCCCCCTAAACGTCAGTCACTGATAGCGGGGGGGTTGAGGACAGCCCAGTATATTCCACAATTTGCTTGGGAATATCGCACATCCTGAGTTCCTTGACTCATGTTTGGGTTTGGACGTTTCCAGTGGCAAGCAGCAAGTTTGGACGTTTATTCTCCCCCAGTGGTTTGAAAGGGGATCGATTTCACTACTGTTTTGAAGGGAACTTGACCAGACGGACATATATTCACCGTTGGCCTCAAAACGCAAGCTGACCTGTTTTACGTTTTGGTTTCCAATGTCGGTCCACGTTTAGTACCCCAAAAGGTGACCATCTTTTAATTCCAAGTCCTTTGGGCAAGTGAGTCAAGGGTTCTTTGAATCAAAGCGAAAACACCCACATACTTATATATTGGTTTACGTAAGGTTGCCGGAGCATAGTTGTTTGAACACCGGCTGCTAAATAGCCTACGATTTCCAATCGAACGAAACGACACCTACAGGTTTGTTTTTCAGACGCCTTATTTAGCACCCATAGTTCGGGGTGCTTTGGTGGACATAGGTGGGCATCATTAAGTCATGGACCCCTAAGAGGGCTATGGGGTGGGGGCTATCCCTGGATAAGCCCAGGATAAGCCAAGGATAATAAGTAAGCTCTTAATAAGCCCTTATTAAGGGGTTAGTAAGGGATAGCCCCCCCTCCCCAGTTCGCCCCCGTTGGGGGTCCATGATAAAGCAGGGAACTCATGTCCACCAACCCATCCCATATTTTGCTCAGCTACGGAAGGTGAGAGGGGCGAATTCTCTTGCGTGTGCGCGTGCGAGGACTGCCCAGAGGGACCACCGGGACGTTTTCGGGTGCACGGCTTTGCACCTGGCCGCCCACAACTGCCATGCTGAGGCGCTGGGGGGGGGGGGGCGCGCGCGCGTTCCAGAAGCCAAAGGGAAGTTGTCTCTAAAGTGAGTTGTTGTAGGGGGTCAAGTTCCAAGGGGTAGCAGAAGGACCCCTCATGGGCCAATGCGGGATGTACAACCTGAATTGGTCAGGCTTCCTATGGCTCACTGTTCCAAATCCCAGTTCTCCCTGGGGAACCCTTTGACTTGACTGCTATTGGGCAACGGATCTTTAGACTTTAACTTGGTTGAAATACAGTGGTGTTTTCCACTACCCCCCCAAACAAGTGGTCAACTTTTTGCAGGGGGCCCTTTCTCACCCCTTTTTTGGGTTGGGCGGGTTCCCTACGAAAATAGACAAAACCGAAAAAAAGGGGTACCGACTTATGCTAACCCCTCTACTGGAGGATTTAGTTTTTGGTTCCTACTGGCGACGTCCAGAGAGCGACGTCCACTGGTGTCCCTTTGGAGCTCTCTGGGCTCCCGGACCCTCTGAAGGCCATTGCGTGAGCAAAAGATGCCCGCCTGGGTGTCATTTTTTCGAGGACCCCCCCCAAACAAAAAACCAACCACATAGAAGAAACGGATAGAAGCAGTACAAGCAAAGATCCGGGGTGTGAGGAACCCCCCGCCCAAATCAAAAAAAAACAGCAACGACATAGAATAAACTGTGGCTTCCCTTTAACTGCCACAAAGAAAAGTTGGGGTCCGTAAAAAGATACCTAGGTGTGTACTTGTTTGGCATCGATCAAAAAGATTGCTTCGCAACATTGTCGGGGCTTACCTGCAAGTAGAAACCCCAGCATTTGGTTGCACAACACATGGGTGGTTCAATCAAATTGTTGTTGGACCCCAATATGGTGACAACCCCAAGGATCCAAAAGGCGTACCCGAAAAAACGTCAAAACCCGCCAAAATTAGGGTGTATATTACCCAATCAAGAGAAACACTCTCTCCTGGTTACACAGCAGGAGAGCCGGAGGATGCCCGTTTCGCGGGCTGGGCGCTGTCTGCCAAAAGAGGGGTCAAGGTGGCCCTCAAGTGCGCTTGACTTCTTTTCGGGGGCAGGAAAGGGAATGTGTTAAGATAGCGGACTTCCCCTGAAACGTTGTTTCGTGGTGCCCTCCAAACCCCGTGTTATCACTAAAACTAGTCAACCCCAAGACGGGTTGTCATTTTTCTACCAGACCGAAGAACCAACGAAGCCAATCCACAGACACCACTTGCCCCTAGGAGGGGATGGAAGACCACGGATTTGGGGAAAAGGCGCCGGACTACCATGATTGGAAAGAGGCTATGCCGCCACTGTTTGAACAACCCAAAAAAGCACGAAGCCGGCCACAAGCAAAGCCAAAAGCAACCAACAACAAACTCCGGATACCTCTGCTAGGTCTTCCAGTAGTGCCCTTTTCCTTTTTTGGTTGAGAGGGTTCCCCTACTAAAATGGACTACAGAAAAAATCGGGTACCCTTATCCTAACCTCTCTACGGGAGGACCTAGTGATTTTAGTTGCAAATACAAAGTTCCTGCACTTTTTTTGGCCATCCACTCAGTCAGTGAGAAGGGGCTTTCTGGTAGTTGGTTTCAACGCAAACCAACCGAGAATCAATCATGGCTCATGTCAACCCAAAACCGCGCTTAGGACGTGGAAGAGCTTCTGAAGCAGAACTTCGACGTCCACGCTCAGGCCCGTTTTCAGGGGACGCATCTCGAGTTGGTGCTCGGTCTGAGAAGCAACACAACTCTAGGGGTTGGCTCCCAAAATTTTCTTCAACCATCGTTCTTTCCGAACACCCGCCGTTTTCCCCGGGTTTCTGGAGGTTTTCTAGAAATAAGGTTTTCTGGAAAGAATGGGGGAGGTACCCCTAGAACAACTGCCATCGCTTGCTTGGCTGGAGGTGGTATCCCGAGGTATAGGATCTAGTCGAAATGGCTTTGTGTGTTTTAGTTGGAGGTACCCTTCTCACCCTGGTGAAAGAGCAGCCAAACAGAGAACCAACTTTTGGGGGGGTCCCCTTGTGTTGAGACACATACCCAAGTGACCCAGATTTATTGAGGTAAAGTAGATGGCGCGATGTACGAAGCTTTTGCTTCGTTGTCCCCTTTGCTTAGCCACAAGGGAATTGTTTCATGTACGAACTCCCCCTGTATCTCAAGGGAAGCTTTTGGGGACCCCCCCCCAACAAGAAAGATATTGTGTTCTTTTCGTGTTTCTTAAAACCGAGAAAAATACACCCTCAATCGAAGGAACAACACTCAAAGGGCTGGTCACCCCAAAACAGTTACCCCCAAGGCAAAATGGGATAAACAAGCCCTATATAGCCAGTACAGAAAGTCTACAAATACAGTTTTGTTTTTTCCTTGGGTAGTGGTTTGGGGCTAGTGGGCACCATCTTAGATCTTTAATGCTAAACAGAGGCAGACACACCGCCCTTCTTTCAACTGGTGGGGTCACGGTCTCTGTATGGCACTTTGTTTGAGGCCCCAACCGTGCTTATTCAAGAAAGTGTGTTGATCCCCCCCCCATCTTGGACCCAGAACGTCGAAGCCACCTGATTCTATGCTGGAAAATTGCCAAACACCCACAACCAACCTGCCTGCAAGCTCTACCCCCTTAACAGTGGAATCCCCCTAGAATTTCCTGGAGATTCTTTTCTCAGACCAACTAATCAGAGGAATCATGAATTCAGACCAATGAATTGTTTCCTTTTGCGGACCCATTATGGAGAAATTCATGAACTGGAACGGAACCAATCCTTTTCTCAGACCAATTCATTAGATGGTTCCGTTCAGTTTCGCGAGTGCCAGGAGCACTTTGGAGAGACTCCGCTGCATTTGGCTGCGCGCTCTGGCTGTGTGCGCACCGCCGACGTGCTCCTGAAGCTCCTTGGCCTTTTAAGTTACGCCCAGGCGACGGACAGAAATAGCCCGAGGTAGGGTACCCCTTTTTGGTAGGTGTTAAAGGGACACCACGCGGAAAACAAAGCCATTTCGAGGTCTACCCATACTGTGGATGGTTGCGAAATCAATTTCGCACCGCCTAAGAAACCATGGTTGAAACCATCAAGCTTGTTGGGTAGTAGGTAGTTACAGAAAAATCAAAGCATTCCAGGGTTTCCTAGGTGCGAAATGGATTCTGTTGCGTCTAGCTTCCCGACTTAGTGGAGGAAAAGACATCCAAGCAGCGACAGCAGCAACCAGCACAGGCACGAATTGTGGCAGATTTTGGGGACCATTCGGACCATTGGGGAAGATGCCTTCCAACCCGTGAGAAGGGGAATTTTAGAACTCTTCCCCAGTTACTTGTACTTGTTTTCCCCCCCCCATGCCCTAAACCCACCCCAAAAACTCCGCCCTAAGCTGAGCTTGGGTTTGAGAGCGATTCCTTCTTGGAGACACGCAGGGACTGTCCGACCTCAGGTTAGGGTCCCCCAAATTCACTGGGTGCTCCATACTGTGCACCATTTTGAAATCATGGGACACCGCAGTCTGTTGGTATTTGCAGATTCCAGTGATTCTCAGTATGACTCCACTTCACCAGGATAATTCTTGAGGAAAGTGTTGCTTCCTTCCTGGTATCCTTTGATCCATATCAAAAACCGGGTACCCGTTTTGGGGTTATCAGGAAACCACGAGACAACTGAATCCCCTGAGCTTCCATATCCTATTATTTTAGAAGATGCACTTGAAGCTTTGCCTCCTTTGCCTCTTTCGGCTGGACTTCGTCCCAGTCTTCGTCCCAGTTCTTCAGTGACATCTCTAACTCCCTTTTTGATTGCCGGTTCCCCACTGACAGCGGTCCTTCTGTGGTTGCTTCTCCTTTTGCGTTGGGCACTGGCTGGGTGTGTCGTGTCTGTTGTTGGGAACCCTTCTTGGATGGTTAAAGGGGAAGCCAAAAGGCCAAAAGGACACTTGCACTCCTGTTTTGGGGGGGCTCCCCCCAATTTCGAGACACACCCGGCTGATGCCGTGACTGTACTGATGGAATCAACAACCAGAGATGTTCACTGAACCCTGCGGACGCCTGCGCAGGGGGCCCACTGGATTTGATCGTTGAGTCTTTCATATCGCGACGTGTATTCCTGGAAACCCAGCCCGCCAAAAGAAAGGAACGCCTTCTTGTTTTCCGTCTTGCAGCCTTTCTTTGAGCGCGAATTGAGGCGACAGAGGAACAAACACGTTTTGAGGGTGCCTACTTTCCTTTTGGTTCTAAGGGTGATCAACAGCAAAACCACCTTTCTGGTGCTCCCCTGAGTGTTGACGCCTTGTTCAGGGTCGCCTTTCCATTTGGCAGGTTCCATCTTCCATTTGGCCGGTCTTTTTGAGGGTCCCCCCCTTTTTGTGTTTTTTTGTTCAAGGAAACCAAGAGGCACACCATTGTTTTTGTTTGCGGTTGGGAGTCCCGCAAAGAAGAATACACCCCCATTTGTCAGGTAACCCTTGTTCAGTGGCTGGGATTGGTACATGATAGCCCTCCGGAAGATCACCGAACCACCGCGCTCCAAACCACCCTTTTGGGGTGGGAAGGTGAAAACGTGAGTCTTATTTAGGAGCCCGTCCGTTTTTTTTGCGGGTGGGGGGTTGTCGTAAAAAAAGAAAAAGCACACCCATTTTTTGAGACCCTGGCGTCCATATCCTATTCTTTAGAAGCTGCTCTTGAAGCTTTGCCTCCTTTGCTTCTTTCGGCTGGGCTTTGTCCCAGTCTTTGTCCCAGTTCTTCAGTGGCATCACTAACTCCCTTTTGACTGCCGGTTCCCCACTGCACGCGGTCCTTCTGTGGCCGCTTATCCTTTTGCGTTGGGCACTGGCCGGCTGTGTCGCGTCTGTTGTTGGGAACCCTTCTTGGATGGGTTAAAGGGGAAGCCAAAAGGCCAAAAGGACACTTGCATTTATTTTATTTGTTTGTGGGGGTTCCCCCCCAATTTCGAGACACACCCGGCAGATGCCGTGACTGTACTGGCGTCCATATGTCCAACTTCGTTTCCCGAGGCACGGGTCGGACCCCGCGCGGCGCAACTCTTTCGGCAAGACGCCCTTCGCGGTGGCGATGCAACACGGGCACCTGGCGCTGGCGACGATGCTTAGGGCACCTCGGCTTCGGCTTCGCCTGGATGGTCTGGGGCCTACATGGCTAGTAACCCTGGTTACCTTGGTCCCAGGGGGCTTGCAACCATGGTAACTGGGGTAGACTTAGGATACATTTTATAAAATATACAGTCAATAACTGGGCCGAAGTCTAATCATGGTAAGTGGGTTACCACCGGATCGGGGTTCCTAGCCGTTTGGCTAAGTCCCAGACCATCCAAGTAAAGGCTGCCGCTTCCGCTTCGGTGACTTCGGTCGGTTCACTTCGCGAGGGAGGGTGCAGGGTGGCCCTTTGCGTCACGTGTTTCCGAGTTTCTGCATGGTGAAAACACTTGGTTTTCTTCGGGTACCTTCCCCATTCTTTCCGGGGATCCTCTCTCTTTTTTCGGGAAACCATCAAAACATGAAAACTTAGGGGAAACAGCCGGTTGACAAGAATGGGGAATTAACCCCTAGAGGTTTGGCCAAATTGGCATGGTTACTTTGTCGGCCAAAAAGGCATGCACGTGGTTACTTTGTTTGGCAAATCTACTCGGTCGGTGAGTTTTTCAACCACACTGAGGTTTAACTTGAATGCACCCCCCCCCCCCTTCAGCGGGACCGGGAATTTTTGGTTCGAGCATCCATCGTTCAAAAGACTCTACTGAGTTCCGCGTTGGTGGTGTGATGCTTGAAGGGGAGATGTATAAGGAACATACAGTGTCATGTGTTTGTTTTATGGTTATAAGTTTGCCTGGAAGGAATTCCATGACCAGGACTGACATGGGGAGTGTAGACCATGGCACATGTGTGTATAAGTGTGTAAGATTGTTTTCACCGCTCGTTTGTCGTATGCACGTCCCATACCTTCAACAACTGTGGCTGAAATTGGTTCCTACTTGGGATGGGGGCTAGCTTCCTGTTTGGAGGTAAGGGCGCAAAAAAGAAAAATATGGGTGCCACAGGCATTTTTTCACAGGAAGCCAACGAGGAATGGATCAATTGCCTTTTTTCAGACATGCAGTAGGCAAAATTTCTTGACCCAGTAGACAATGCCAGGCCAAGGGCGTGCCTTCTGACTTTGGGCATTTTCGTGCTTCATGTTCCGTGTCAGGCAGCAATAATTTTAGCGCAACCCCTAGTTGCTTAACTTTGGGAGGTGTCCCGTTTGAGTTGTGGGTCCCGCCATCTGAGTTTCTATACTTGGGTTGACATGTCGCAGGTGCCTCTTTCTTTGGGCTGCTGGCCAAGTTGGTGACCTAAGGCAGCCGCCATAAAAGCCAGAAACCATCGGAATTACGTACCCGGACATAGGTGTCCTTTTTAGGTTACCCTCCCACCAATTCACATGGAACCCTTTCATGATTTTTCATGATGTGCATCATGCAAGCTCATGCTCAGCTTGCATCAACTAGCAACCCACATCTTTGGGTGTGTCTTTGGGGCTACCTCCCAAAGTGGAAGTTTCCGTTTGCCCGTTGGCTTCGAAGTCAAAAACACATACACCCACCCCGTGCTCTCCAAAACGGCAGGGGCCTAGCTGGACCGTGGTCACCTTGCACAGCCTGACTACAGAGACTAGGTCCCCCAGCCAGGTGCCCTTTCTCACCCCTTTGGACTAAAATAGACTACAGAAAAAAAAGTTGGTACCAACTTATTCTGACCTCTCAAATCTGGAGGACCTAGAGAAGACCCGATGGGCTGTGGGTTTATTGGGCGTGTGTTGTCAGTCGCTGCAAGAAGCCCAAGCTCGCGGAGCGGCACTTCAAGAAAAATGGGCGGTTCGTTTTTTTTTTGGGGGGGATCCCCCCCAAAAGAGAGAACAACGTCCGTTAATTTTTTTATGCGTGGTTTGCGCTGTTTCCTAACCACAAATGAGAAAGGCGGAGTACATGGACATATCCTGACGGTTGACCATGGAACAACTTGAGTTCTGTGGGTTGTTTTTACGGCGTCGCCGGCGAGGTTCCTAAGTTTTGCGCTTGTAGCTTAAAGGTGAATCTGCTGTGTTGTGCCTTTGGCAACCCGGCGGCCCAGGAAGTGGCAACCACTCGCCGGTGAGGGTGAGTGGGAATCAAGAGGGAAAATATCCTGAGACCTCAGCCTCAAGCGTTCTCCAGCTGTTGTTTGCGTGTTGCTGCCGGACTTCCTTTGCTACCCAGTCAGCTTTGGACACGAAAACTGGGCTACATGCGCAGGCGTGGCTGCGCCATGCGCTGATGTTGGAAACACCGTCAATGGGGCCTCAGGATATTCTGGGCATTCCCGTGCAAATTTTGTGTCTGACAACCGGCTCCTGCCGTGGTCTACGTACGTGGCCCCGGGGGCATTTTGTTGGACGATCGTTCACCGCCCGTAAATTGATGTGCTCATTACGACAAAACGACGCATCGGGGTTGGGCAAAGCTTGTAGCTACTGTGGATGGGCGAAAGCTGTTTCGAACCACCTAAGAAACCCTTGAATGATTCGATTTCCCATTAAATACCAACAACCAATGGTTTTCATGGTTTCAAAGTGGAGCGAAATGGAGTTCGCAACCATGCACAGTATGGACAAAGGGCCCCCTTGAGATAATACAAACTGGGTTCGGCCCAACCCTGATGGAAGCAATTCCTCCGTGATTTTGTGTCAATGGAGGAAAAAAGAAAGCGTCGCCGATGCATGCGCGGGTTTTTCTGGGCATGGACCTTAAAAACCCAAACCCCTCAAATTTGGGGTTCAAACACCAAACTCAGCCAGCCCTACATGAAGCCCCCCCCCCCAAGAAGGACAAATGCCTTGACGGTTGGGTCCTGTTGGAGGTCCCGGATGAGGCCCACGTGAAACGATTGCGCACCACCTAGAAACCCTGGAATGATTCGATTCTCTAGCGTAAATATCAACAAACATTATGTGTTCAACCGTGGTTTCTGAACGGTGATGCGAATCAAAATTTGCAACCATCCCCAGCCCTTGCAAAGCACGTGGCAAACAAGAGCTTTCGCACAAAGACCCTGCGTCGATGTTGAATCAGCCTATTTGACTGTACCATTTTTTCGTCCCCGAGAAACAAGCCCATACCTCCAAGCCCAAACCTGAACATGGCGTTGACCTGAGTCTTTCCCGCTTGGGGATTTGTTCTGTGGTGCCAATGGTTGTTTTGACTTATGGCTCGCATGACTCAGGCGAATCGACCGATCGACATGAGCTTTTGGTGTCCCAGTTTTGGCAACCAGGTGATCAGCATTTATTGTTAGATCCCAAAGGAACAAGTGAGATGACTGTGGCACTCTTACTCTTCTTTGCTTCGGATTGTGCTGAGGGTAGAGTCGTACCCTTGTCCTCCTAAAATGAGGGTTTGAAGGAATTCGCCTTGCAGAAGGACCGCATCTAGACGGGAAGCTTCAGGATGTCGAAATGGACCCGGTGGGAACGGGCTGTTTTCCGTTTCTTGTGACAGGGAACCGGCGAAGGGTGGGAAGGCCTTTTGGGGTCAGAGGCTGCCAGGGCATTTGCCGTTTCGAACCCCATATTTTCCGAACCCCAGGTTATTCGGGGGGGGGGGTGCTTTTCCGTGGGTGAAATGAGGGTGGAATCAGACCACTGTTGGAGAGACCCCCACCTCGCTAATAATAAACTGATACAGGGTTAGCCTTATACCCCTTTCAATCCCTTTCGCGGTGGTTTGGGGGTGGACACCAACTGAGATTCCGGATTAAACTACACATCTGTTGCTGCTGACACTTTTCATTATTCGAATCCGGCCGTTGCTTGGATTGTGCTTCAACGTGTTCAACGCCGGAAACATAGGCATGGTGTTTATTTGTGGTGCCCTGGTCGCTGAAGCTGTGGGTTGTTAGATCGGATTTCTTGCATATGAGCTTCTCTTGGCCACTTTCCATCAATCAGATTCCATTTGCTAAACAATTTGCTTTAGATTTGCCTTGTCATTTTCCCCTGTTGGCTTAAAATGGGGTTGGCCCACTACTGGTTGTTATTTTTCTTGTTTCCAGTTGTTCAGTGGATCCCTTTTTCCCTTCTTCTTTGGCGGCTTCCCACTAAGAATGATCAAACCCGAAAAAAAGTGTTCCCTTTTTCTAGCAGGGTCACTGACTCACTTCCTGAGTTCATAAACTTTAAACTTTTTGGGTTTGGACCGTTTTAGTGGTAAATATAAAGTATGGTTACTTGTTTGGGCCATCGACTCAGCAAGTGAGCTGAACAGTTTACTTGGTGGCTCCCAGCCATCCCCGTAGCTTCTTAGCGTTTTAGTGTTTAGTGGGGGTTTCCATTTAACCCGCTAAAGGTTAAACTTTTTGCGGGGGATCTGAGGACAGCCCAGTTTAGGGGGCTGCCGCAAACTGGCGCAACCTGAAGTCTGCAAGCAGAAGCCTGATGGCTCAGGCCCAGCAACTCCTCCGTGCGCCCGGAGTACCCCACGCCGCTCGGGGCTGGCACAGGAATGGGTTTCACTTTGGTTCATCCGGTTCCTTAGCTTTTTCGTGGTTTAGTGAGGGTTTATGTGGTTTTTAGTTAGTTTTCAGTTGGTTTTAGTTGGTGTTTAGTTGGCTTTTAGTTGGTTTCTAGTTGGTTTTTAGTTGGTTTAGAGGAGACATTCTTAGCAGGGGATCTGAGGGCAGGCCAGTAGTGTTGGATCATGTTAATAGGCTTTTTGGTTCTCGTTTTTCGTGCAGGGGGCTGCAAAAATGAGAGTTTGTTGCTGCCATACCAAGGGTTGGAAAGAGTTTCATTTGTTCACTGAATTGGAGGCTTAAGGTGATGCGTGATGTGTTCCAATTGCCTTCAGAGGGGCGCAATGATGACAGTGTTAATTTCCAGTGGCGCCTGAAGTGGAGGTAGTTCGCATCCGTGTCTACTCTCCCAAACTCGCTTGCCCAAAGCCGACCGTGTCACCTTTCAGACCTTCGGGGGAGGGTTCCCCTACTGAAATAGACTACAGAAAAAAAATCAGGTACCCTTAGCCTTATTCTAACCTCTCTACTGGAGGACCTCGCCAATTTGGGCCACAGTTTTCGTCGTGGACGCTCAAGCTTCACCTTCTGTTCCCGGGTCCTTTGGGCAACTCGGCGAATTTACATCGCACAAAACATGTGTGGTGTTTCCATTGGCTGGAACACGAGTCGCCGGGTTTTCAGAAAGGTTTGGAGGGATTTCAAAGCGAAGAAGAGGGTCTCGGTACCTGTCCAGGGGTGATATACCGTTTTTGTCGCGACAACCCTGGCTTTTGGTTTGCGATTTTAAGACTGGCTTAATCAATTTTCCTGGATTTTCCGGGAGTGCCATAAGTAGTATTTCTACTTCCCGTGGCTTGTCCCAGGTTTTGGGAGGCCCGGAGTTGTTTTTCTTTTTGGCGAGTTCTTCGGCCTTAGTATAAAATCCTCGACGTGTCCAAGCCCGTGAACATCGTCCTTGACCTCAGGTTCCACATTCTGGGGTACCCTTCTTGGGTTCAAAGCAGGGTTGTGGGATCACTCGGGGTTTCTCCAACCACTTCTGTGATACTTTTGGGAGTCCTCCTTAAGAACCAAAGAGTCTTTGGGGTTAGGCCCAAAGTCTGTTGTATCACAGATTCGTGGATTCCATTCCCCACAGCCCTGGTTCAAAGAAAATCCACATCCTTCCCCGGAAGGCGACTCGGCAAACACCGCATGGTGGGAAAATCACGCATGACAGCTGGGGGGAGTCCTAGGATAAGTCCTATGAGCCAAAACTTTTCTGGCCGTTTGGTCAGCGTGTTTTTTGGACTGAACCTCTTGTTGGGATGAAACAGCTCGGGTTTTCCATGTTGGACCCGCAAAAAGTGAGTCAAACTTTTTGGCAGAGGGCTCGAAGAAAGGACTTCATGGGTGGCCCGAATGGGGATGCCAGGGGTGGCCCGGTTGTCACCCATGAAGCTTCCTTTGGAGGCAGTCCCTTATTTTGAGGAGTTTTTGGAAAACATATGCAGGTATGTGTGTTTCTTAGCCGAACCCCCCAACGGGGGGGCTCCCTTTTCAAGAGAAACCAAGAGGACAGCCCGGCCCATTTTGTGGGTTCCCCGCCATTGTTGCTTGACTGCACCCTGTGTTCGGCGAGTTTGCATCCCCACCCACATTTCCAGAGGTAGGGAATGGAAAGCGGCAAATGACCGAGAAATGAGGAGCCCAAAGTGGAGCACTTGATTTGAGAGGTCGGCCAATCCCATGTTTATTTAGCAGTGCGCTTAAAGAGGGACCGCGCAACGCGGGTGCGCTGCTTCGCCGCTTGTTTCGCAGCCGTAGCTTTGAAGCTTTGGCCTGGTGGTTTAGTGCCATGGCACTCTTGCGCTATCGCTGGACATTTATAGACGCTCGGCAAAAAAAATCCGACATGTTGCTTGGATGTTGGGACTTTAACTTTTTGCCAACTAGCGGGTTTTCCATTAAACTACTAAAAGTTAAACTTTCTTGGTAGGGGAGCAGAAAGCAACCGAGAAAACTTGGCTCCCAGCCATCCGGTTCAAATTAGTTTTTGTTGGATCCTTTTAGTGTTTAGTGGTTGGATTTCCATTTGACCCGCTAAAAGTTAGCCACTTTTAGCGGGGGATCTGAGGGCAGCCCAGAAAAACCTGACAGTGGATGTGACATAGGAGGACGAACAGCCTGGAAGAACAGTAGATGGGGTGTTGTTTTTGGGGTAACCAACGTTGGAAAACTGCCTTTTGCTTCACACATATCCATAGTACGAACCCATACATGACACACCTCTATAGTTTGTTGGTTTGGCTTTGTGGCTTCATGAGAAGCCAGCCCCCGAAAGGGTCCTTGGCGAGTCACGCCCAAAGTGAAGGCTGATCCTTTCAATAAAATCCACGATAAATTTGAGCAACTTTTGAAGGGAAATCCAGTGACCCCTGTTATCATAACGGTGTCGGGTAGAGTCAAGCAGGTTTTAGTGACCCAGTTCTCATGGGCTTGCCCAAGCATTTGACCCCCTACATTTGTTTCAGTCGGATTTGGGGGGGGGGGGGCAACCCCCTTCCGAACAAACTGGCCCTTATCTCTGTGACCCTTGTCGGTGGGCCCACGTATCCCGGGTTTGCTCTCTGTTGAAGTAAAGCAACTTAAGGCGACATGTGCCACATTGAGCCATTCTTTTGCTTTGGGTTGGTAATTCGTGTTGAGCATTGTGTTGAATCCAAGCCGTCGTCCCCTGCGAAACCAGCAGCTTTGGTTTCAGAGGTTAAACTCATGATAAGAGAGTTTGGCTCAACTCTGAGTACCAGTGTGCGTCCATTTACTGAAAATAGTATTTTCGGTTTAGGGGAACTAATTGCACTACTGGACATATTTGCTCTTTTCTCCAGGAGGCAAACAAACACAAATCGGAAAGGACTCGAACTGATGTGTCCTTTGGGAGAATCCCAACATTTACTCTGGTAACCCTTCATTGGTGGTTTGGTTTGGTTGGGGATTCAGCTGTCAGCTTTTTTTCTAATTGGCGGTTTGGATTGGTTTGAGGTTTGAACCCCAGTTCCTTTCCAAACAAATGGGGGAAGGTGGCCCCCAACGTCTAAACCAAGCTCCGAAGCCAAGGGGTAAGCTGGTCTTGTGAGGATCCTTTGTTGCCCGGTCCCCCGGGGAGGGTTCAAAATAGAGTCCAGAAAAAGGGTACCCTTCTTCTAACCTCTCTACTTGGACCTGGGCATACCCATAGAAGCACGATCCCATACATGACAAAGCCCCTAAAGAGTTTGTTGTTTGTTGGTTACAGTCATCCAAACCCAACCGCCCTTTTCGGGGGGAAGCTGATCAAAAGGCCCCGTGCGAAGAATCTATCACATGAAAATCTTTGCCCATGTCTTCTCCAGGCGACGCAGAAGCAAACAGAAGAAGCTGATTTACGGCTCCCAGCCATCCCCTTAGGTGTTCAGGTCTTTAGTTGGTTTGTCTGAGGGTTTTGTACTACACCTGGGCTTACACCCTTGGGAAATGACCCACAATGGCTCAAGATAACACGGTGTGATCCGGAAATGTGCCTAAATGGTGTCAATACCCAGTGGGTGTATTCCCAGGGTGTCATACAAACACCCTTAGAGTTTGGACATGTCCAACCGCTAAAACTTAGGGGATTTGAGGACAGCCCAGTTTTGAGCGGATTTCAAGGAAACGGCAGAAACCAACAGGAGGCCGCCTTTTTCAGTTTTGTTACGAATCCTTGGAATGATTTGATGCCTCTGTAAATACCAACAAACAATGGTTTTTCAGGGGTGGCTCCCCGAGCGCTTCCAAGTGTAAGGCGCCATTCTTTAAGCGATACGGAAGCTTTACATGCTTTCTGCTCTGCAACTTGATACGACATAGGGATTCATGGACGAAATCCTGCACCGCCCAAGAAGCCCTGGAATGATTCGATTCCCTTGTATAAATACCAACCAACGATATGGCTTCCTATGGTTTCTTAGGTGGTGCGAGAAGCGGATTTCGCAACCATCCACTGTAGGGATTCCTGGGAGGCTTTTTTCGGCTCGCTCCATTTTTTTGGGAGGAAGCGGATCCGCGGATCGCGGATTTCCCCGGGCCGGATCGATCGGGTTTGGTCCGTCGCGAGCTCGCGAGCGAGGACGCGGAGAACGTGGAGGACGCGGCTTGTGGGAGGAGTAGCAGCTGCCCTGCAGCCTTCAGATCCCAGGACGGCGCATGGCGCAACCAGTGAGGCATCCAGGTGGTTTTAGCGGGGTCAAGCTGTTCGCAGGGTATCTAAGCACCTCACTTCCTGAGTTCATGAACTTTAAACTTTTTGGGTTTGGACCATTTTTGTTGTAAATGTAAAGTTTGGACTTTTTTTGGGCCATCCACTCAGCCAGTGGGGCACGAAAAATCGATTTCCAAGGTCCGAGGATGCTCCGATGCATCCCGAAGTCTCACATCCTGAGTTCCGTGTCAGTCAGACTTTAGTCACTTTTGGGAGTTGGAGGTTGTTCGAAGTAAATAAAGCGTTTGGACTGGTTTTGGCCAATCCGCTGACTAAGTGAGTCACAGCGTTTTGCACGGTCCAACCAAGTGAGCCCTTCTCGCCCTGGGTTTGTTTCTATCAAAGACCTTCAAGGCTTCTCGGTCTCGAATTCATCGGACTCAACGCGAAATTCGAAATCCCAACTGGAAATCGGTTCAGTTCGGGGAGATTCCCTGATTCCCTGTTGAGAACCAGCAAGTTCTGTAACTCACCTTTTCGCTTTTTAGCCTTTTGGCCTCCAGAAACAAAAGGTCCTGGAAAGCAGAAGTTGCCCGTAGATTGAGTAACCACTTGGTCGTTTTGCTCTTTGGCCTTCCCTTTTTTGGACCTTTAAGCAGCAACAAGTCAAATCTTTGTGGGGGGCAAGTCCTTGCCAAGAGTTTACAAACACCCCTTCAGCGTGAACCCACATCAGGCACGATCAAAACGCGGGTGGGTGAAGGTTAGTGGGGGATAGTCGCAACCATAAATTGGTGCGATGCGGCCTTTTAATTCCTTATGTGATTTTGCAACACTCCCATTGATGCTCCATTGTTAGATTACCCCCAGAAGAGATTTGAAACCCAGGGGTGATGGATTTCTGCAAAACATGACCGATTCCTTCGTTCAAGAGGATGCTCGGTTGCCCAGCGCAAATCGACGGCATCGGATCGGACCTTTCGATTTTCCATGTTTGGGTTTGCGGTTTTGCCCCAAAGGTTACCCTCCCGTCCCCTAACATGGAACCTGACGTTTCGAGGTCCTGAAAGGCTGGAAGACTAATTGCATTTAAGGGGACTCTTTGGTGGGTTTCAAGTTAGCGGACAGGAGGGTAACATTTTTCTAACAGAAACTTGACCAGCTGGAGTGGCTCCGTTTGGTACCATTTTACATTGTTTCATTAAAATGATGGTGGAAAACATAGGTCTGTCTCAAAATTAGGGAACCCGTAAAGTGCTTATGTTTCTTTTGCTGTTCCTCTAAAAACCGTACACATCTTGGTGGTTCTCAAAAAAGACATCTATACTTCCTAATTTTTTAGGGTTGAAGGTTGACCAAGAAGTTGCGAACCCCTCTTCCGACAAAACGTCGTACGCGTCGTAACTAGTTGGGCTCCATTCACCCAAGATCGGGGCGGTACACCAGAAAAGGTTTGTTTGATAAAGGCGTGGAACCATTTGGGTTTGTCTTTTTGGGGGGAGTGCCGAAAATTGTGGGTTTTCATTTTGCTTTTCCTAAAAAAACACCAAGACAAAAGCACCTTCGAAGAAAGAAACACCCACGTGGCCCCTTGTACATCTTGCTCCCCAGTGACCACTATTTGGTTGGATCTTTTGACTTCAACTTTTGGTTGGAACACCTCAACTTTTCCATTGGATGTACAGCAAGTGCACAACAAGTGGCCACAACTTGTTTGCAGAGGGGCCGTTACAGCAACCAAGAGGGGGACACCAAGCATGGCATCAAGTTTCGGAGGGTAGCGACCTAGATGGGTAGTGTAAGGAGCTATGCAACCTGGGCTAAGGGTTTTTTTCTCTCGTAGCTAACCGCTGGACCACGCCTACGCCACAACACCCAAGGCGCCCACAAAAAAAAAATCCCTGGCGCCCCCCAGCCTCCAAACTGCCAATTAGTCAAAAGCTGACAACATGCAACCGGGCGAAAGACACCTACCAAAGGACCCTCAAAGCCAAACAAGCAAGCAAGCACACAACGAAAAAAGAAAGAAACACCAAAAAAACATAAACAAACAAAAGACACAAAATACAACCAACCAAGCAACCACGCAAACCCAACCAACCAACCAACCAGCCAACCAACCAACCCACCAACCCATCAACCCATCAACCAACCAACCAACCAACCAACCAACCCACCAATCAACCCACCAACCAACCAACCAAACAACCAACCAACCAACCCACCAACCAACCAACCCACCAATCAACCCACCAACCAACCAAACAACCAACCAACCAACCCACCAACCAGCCAGCCAGCCAACCAACCAACCCACCAACCAACCAACCCACCAATCAACCAACCCACCAACCAACCAACCAATCAACCAACCCACCAACCAACCAACCAACCAACCCACCCACCCACCAACCAACCAACCAAGCCAACCAAGCCAACCAAGCCAATCCACCAATCCACGAACCCTCCAACCCACCAACCAAGCCAACCAACCAAGCAACCAACCAACCCACCAACCCACCAACCAACCAACCAACCAACCAACCAACCAACCAACCAACCAACCAAGCCAACCAACCAACCCACCAACCAATCCACCAACCAACCATGCCAACCAATCCACCAACCAACCAATCAACCCACCAACCAACCAACCAACCAACCAACCAACGAACCAACCCACCAACCAACCGACCGACCGACCAATCAACCAACCAATCATCCCACCAAGCAACCAACCAATCAACCCACCAACCAACCAACCAACCAACCAACCAACCAACTAACCAACCAACCCTTGTGTACCTTCTCTTCCCCGTAGCCACTGGGCCACGCCACAGGGTTCAGGGTTGACCAAGGGATTGCGAGCCCCTTGTCCCCTCCATAGTGACCAAGTATGTTCATATAGTTGCCCACAAGGTTTTAAACAACAAGCAAGCAAGCAAGCAAGGCAAGCCAGCAAGGCAGGCAGTCAAGCAAGCAAGCAAGGCAAGCCAGCAAGGCAGGCAGTCAAGCAACCAAGCAAGCAATCAAGCACAAAAATAAGCAATCAATCAAACAACCAACCCAGCCCAACCCATCCCAACCCAACCCAACCAAACCAACCACCCTTCTATGCCTTTTCTCCCAACCACTGGACGTCCGCTTTTCCGTCACAGCCATCCGCGAGGAGTTCCTGCGCGCGGCGCGGCAGCTGAGACGGGAGGAGACGCAGCTGGCGGCGCAGGTGGCGCAGCTCTTGGCGCCCAAGAACGAGCCGCTGGTCCCAAAAGGTTAGCCTTTTTTGTTTCTGGGTCCCTTGGTCAACTGAGTTTGGGAAGACCATTTCATGGTTGTTGTTGGGAAACCATTTTTTGTTTGCTTCTTGTGGTCTCGGGCGAGCCTTGGTGCTCAGGGAATGAGGGGAATGACCTTGTCTAGATGGTTTTGATGGTTTTATTTATGCCTCATTTACCAGTGAATCCAGTCGATTTATCCATTCTATTTCAGGGCTCCTGAAAATATACATTTTGCAACCATATGAAACATGGCTTTTTCCACCAAAATACAGGGACACCACCATTTACAGGCAATGTTCAGGTGTATAATGTAAGGATCCCTGTGGGGGTGTCCATTTAACCCACTAAAGGTTAGTCACTTTTAGGGGATCTGACAACGGACGGTGAGACCATGGTTATTCAGGACAGGTTTTCCAGGTTCACCTGTGCATTTCAGGGTTAGGTTGTCGCAACCAGCTGTCAGGGGTCCAACCTCTTGGTTTTTTTTGCAATTCTAGTCCGGTGGTTACTGGCTCCAGTACGCAGCACTCATCATAAGTCCCCGGCTAACTAAAGTGATGAGGGACGTTGACCAAGTAATCGTCACCTTTTTTTGCTGCAAATGGCTCCAGTACGTGGCACTCACCCCATGGCGTGTCCAGATTGTTTGAGGGCCATGCAGCGTTCAGGATCTTTGGGACTTGGCCCCCACAACCTGGTGTGTTGTTCTTGTTTGACCTTCTACCTGATTTCAGGGCCGAAAACTCCAAAAGCCACATGGGGGCCGAACATCCCAGAAAGGTTGTTTAAACAGGGGCAAGGCCAAGCAAAAAGGAACCACACCCAGAGGATTGAGTTGCCCAAAGCCGACTGTTTTTTCATGGCTTGGTCCACTTTTACTTGGTGGTTCTCAGCCATCCCCTCAGTTTTTTTACACTTTTAGGGTTCAGTTGGGGTTTCCATTTAACCCACTAAAAGTTACACTTTTAGCAGGGGATTTGAAAACGGACAGCCCACTTTTCGTAGAAGTCCTTAAACGGTTCGCCTTTTCTGTCTAGGTCCTCTTCTAGGTCCCCCAGTAGTGCCCTTTTACCCTTTGTTGGTTGGGGTTTTGGGTTCCCCTTCAATGGCCTAGAGAAAAACATCGGATACCCTTTTTCTCACCTCGCTGGAGGACCTTAGGCAACTGAGATGACAGCCTCAGCTCAGTTCCTGGACTCCTGCAAACTTCGTGCCGAACGTGGGCAGCCTGGGCCATCCGAATCTTTGCCAGAGGCCGGGGGTCGGGAGATGTGCCAGTCCCATCAAACTTTTAGGGTTTAGGGCGTATAGGGTTTTAGGTTTTTTTTGGGGTGTCCATATAACCACCCTAAAAGCGAAACGGAAAGCAGGCCATCTGACAGCCCAGTGACGAGAACCAATTCGATCATACTTCTGTAAAGCTCAGAGGTGCGGGGACTGTTTGTCATCCGCAGTTGTGCCATCTGGTTTAGGCCACTTCAGTGGCCCTTTCATTTGTGCAGCTTTAGGCCGGGTCCTCTAAGGCCACTACTCGTGTATATTTTTTGTGTGGGAAGGTTGTTGTAACCAATTCCATTGAAGGCCCTTCTATTCGGACCCCCGAAGAACGTGTTGCTTTCGGCTTTCCTTAATACCAAAAAGGGAAGTACCCCTCCAAAAGCTTCCGGATGTTTGAACAGCTTGAGGCTTTCCCTTGAAAGGGGGAACAGAGACTGGTGGTTTAAGCATCATTTGCCCGGGTCCATTGAAGTGACACACCCTCAAAACCCTCTCAATGGAGGTTAAAAGGGAAACCGCCCCCGAACAAAGATTGAAAACCCTGGCCAGGTCCTCCAGCAGAGAGGTTAGACTAAGGGTACCCCTTTTTTCTGCGGTCTATTTGAGCAGGGGACCCTTCAGGGAACCTGGCTGGAGATGTTCACTTGAATGGCTCCATTTTGCCCCGCTGGTAGACCAACCCCCAACCGCGCCTTCGAGCCTTCGAGCGTTCGACCGCCTCTGCGACCGCCATCCGCAGGCGGTGCTGTTTGATGCGCGACGGCGTGTGCCCGAAAGGGGCCGCCTGCGAATACTGCCATCTGCCCCACTGCCGGTCCTCTTTGGATAAGCGCCAGCGCTGCCTGCGGCTCGGAGGATTTTGGTTGCTGCGCCGAGAAAAACCTGTTTGATCATGTTTTTACTAGGATTTGAATAGTGTTCTTCTCTCACCTTTTTTGGGGGAGGGTTCCCCTACTAAAATAGACTGCAGAAAAAAGGTACCTGTATTCTAACATCTCTACTGGAGGAATTGGGTTTTGTTGCTGCGCCCAGAAAAGCCTTTTCGATGGAATCCCTGGAGTGGGGGACGTACTTACCCCCCCCGGACGAGATTCCATAGCGAACTTAAGAGGTGTTCCTTTGGGCAAACTGAGGCCTAGTTGCGCAAAGGTAGTAAGGGCTATATCAAGCTTCATCGCCGTTTGAGTGGCCAAGGTCAGTCAATGGATTTTTGAGCCGACTCGCCCAAGTTAGGGGCCCGACTTTCGCGGGGGCCTACTTGCCGACATTGAACGTCACCGCTTGGCCCAAGTTGAAGCGAGTGCTTCTTTTGATGTAGAAAGGACAATGCTGTGGATTTGCGTTTTTATGTGTTTTTTGCACCATTTTGAAAACATGGGAAACCAGTGCTGGTTGGTATTTACAAGGGAATCATCATTCAAGGGTGTCTTTGGTGGTGCAGGATTCGTCCATCCACAATATGCAGCTAATTATTGAGGCACGTGGTTTCTTTCCAATAAAGAGGCGTTGCGGGCAATTCGCAGGTACATGTGAGGGGGAAATGGTTATGTCATTTCTTTGGCTTACTTTGAGACCCTAAATGATAGACTGGAATTGGTGGGTTATCCAATAAGCAATTGAGCAAGAGAATCATATGTGTGCAATGATGTATCTCGCCCCTTGTATTAGGTTTGGTGACACCAGCTTATATGACCAACCTACTTAGTATGTGACCAACATCCCCAGGAAACAAGTCCCCTCAGTGGGTTGTGTGTGGGGTTAAATGCACTTGCGTGAGGTGGTGGGCTTGTGTTTTTTGAGGGAAGGTTCAGCAGGGTCCAGCTCTATTCTCCCTTTTAGGTTTGAGACGTTGTTATCCAAGGAGCGCAGCCACGCCCGCGTATGGTTGCTGGAAGTATGGATGCCAATATGCCACCATGACAAGCTTCTGCAGTGCATACCCCTCATGTATGCCCCATGATGACCTCCGCGAGTGTGGATTTTAAAGGCATGTAGTGCCCTTTTACCCTTTTTTGGGGGCAGGGTTCCGCCAGGGTTCCCCTTTTAAGATAGACCGCAAAAAAATCGGATACCCTTATTGCAACCTCTCCACCGGAGGACCTAGAGGCAATATGCCACTTACATCCATACCCTCGAAACCCATACCCTCGAAATTGGATTTTATGAGCAGGGCTCCTTAAAAGAAATACATTTTGCAACCACTTGAAACATGTGGCTGTACCAGCACCAAAATAAAGTTGGAAACCACCAGAAAACAAGTTGCAATGCTCAGGTGCTTTTCATGCATCCGGATCCCTGTAAACACTTTTTTCTCTCCAAAAAGTATCTACTTTAGAGTTTTCTCAAGGGCCACTTTAGTTTTCCCAAGGGCAAATTCCAGGAGGGGTGTAAGGCCACGTGGGTTGCATTCAATTCCATCGGTCGGTGCTTATCTTAGGCTCAGCTCTGCCAGCGAGACCCAGCTGCTGCGTACCATGGATGGCTGCTGCTTTTTACAGGGTTGTTGAGACTCATTTGAGCCACGTCCTCAAAACCCGGGTAGATGAAGGTTAGTAAGGGGCAGTCCCAACCATAAATAGCTGCGGATATCCGCCTTCTTTAATTTGTGAAGCGTGGTTCTGGGTAGACCATTCTAGTACCGGGTATTGATTGTGACTCACTTCTTCCCCAGAATTAGTTCCCCTTTTTAAGTTTTTCTTGTTTTGGGGGTTCCCTTTGTTTTCCACTACCCAGGCAAACAAATATATATTATTTGCTGGGGTCCTATCCAGAGTTTCTGGACTTTACTCACTTTTTGGGTTTGGAAGGCCCATTTGAGTGGCAAGCAAAAGTTTGGTGATTTCTTTCAGCCAATCCACTGGATCGGTACTGAGTAAGAGTTTCCAGCTGAACAACCTGCTTGGGAGCCGGCACAGGTACCTTTGTTTCAACCACCAGTTAGCATGGTTCATGCTAACCCCTTACGGAACAGCCCTGTTGTCAAATGTTTAGCCTGAAGCAAGTCAGATTCTTATCAAACGTGTTCTCAATATATGTACCAGTCCCTGGGCCACGTACCCCCCCCCCCCCATGGTATGGTCCCCCCACTCCCCCGCATCATCCGCATCTTGGGGATGATGCTGGCAATGCTGGGGATGCTGTCCAGTGCCGTGTGAGCCCTGCAGCTTCGGTCCCAGACTCCCCCTTTCACCCCGTGAACCAACACCCCTAAACCAAACCACCCTGCAACCCCTCCTTAACCCCAACCCTAATCCTAAATCAACCCAAACCCCAAACCCACCCGAAACCCACCGCAAACCAACCCTGAACCAACCCTAAACCAACCCACCAAGCCTGAACCACACCCCAACCATCCAACCACCCCACCACCCCACCACCCCACCACCCCACCACCCCACCACCCCACCACCCCACCACTCCGCCACCCACCCCACCCCCACAGGGGGTTGGGGGGGGAGGGGGGGGGGTCCACAGCCTAGAACATATATGCCATATGTGGTTTCCTTCATTTTACCTTACCAGAACAGTTCCGGGTGGTGCCCAAAATAAGCGTAGCCCTAGGTCCTCATTTGCCCAAAGCCGGCCTTTTGAACCATGGAGTTTTCCTGGTTTGGTCACTTTGGTCGGTCCCAAAAGGGTAAGCTTCATTTCCGGATCTTGCAGGGCAACTCGGGAAGTGGTGCATTTTTGTTCTCTCAAAAAAATCACCGAAAAAAGGCAGCCTCAGCAAAAGCCTACAAACCCACCTAATACCCACCACCTAAACCCACCACCTAAAACCCACCTAAGACCCACTCAAAAAAGGCCCCACCTAAAAAAGGGCCGCCTCAGCAAAAGGCGCGGGCTTTTGGGGCCCAGAAGAAGGCCGGGGACCGGACTCCTGGACTCCCAGGCACGCTGCAGCCCCATTTCGCCCGGCACGGGATGGAGAACCCAGCGGCACTGCCCCTGCAGGACTGCAGGGCGTTGGATACCCCCAGTGCCCTTTTTGGTTGGGGAGAAAAGGGTTCCCCGTACTAAACTAGACGGGAAAAAGGTCTCCTTCTCCTTCTGCATTTTGCTTTGTCTTCCTTCTCCTTCATTTCGCCTCCCTCATCTTCATCTCCTTCATCTTCATTTCTCTTCCCTTCCCTTCCTTGAGAGCATACCAGCTGCTCCAGTCCGGCCAACGTGCTGATTGGGTCCTCGCTGACTTTCCCTTCATGCCCCTTCATTTCCCTTTATCCCCTTACGTTTGGACTCCCAGATTTCGTTTCGAACTCCGAGCGGCCACCAAACCGCAGAGCTTTCCAATTTTTAAAGAAGGGTCATCAAGTTAAATTCAAGGTAATTGAGGCCAATAAATGGAAGATCAGGCAACCCTTGATGGGTGGTTCGGATTTGGATGTGAACCCCTGGTTTCTGAGGGTAAATGGGACACCACTCCACCTCCGAACCACCAAGCCAAACCAACTAGGGGGAAACCGAGGTAGGTTCTGAATCGCCATGGAAAAAAGATTGGACCTTTGACAGCCGCAGGGTTTCCCAACCCTAAGTCTAGAGTCTATATTTTTTTGTTCATCGCTGTCATTCGCTGACACATGTAACTGCCTGGTTCATGGACACCTCTCATTTGTTTGCGATCCGTTTTGCAGCACATTTACTAAGTTCCTGAGTCCAGGCACTTTAGTCACTTTTTGGGAAGACCCGTTTAGCGGTGTGTTTGTTCAAGGTCGCTCATGATTTGTTGCCATTACTCGCTTCGGAAGTGAGTTGCGACGAATGCGAAGCAACTTGACATGACGTTTTGGTTTCCCAATGTTGGTCCACTTCTTATAGAGGTCCCAAAAGGCGATCACCTTTGGCAAGGTCCTTTGGGCAAGCAAGTGTTTCTTTGTTTTTTTTTTTTTTTTTTTTTGTTTGTTTTTTTGTGGAAAGATGCAAATAAGAAGAGTGTTATCTTTGGTACTGCACAACGGATCGCAAACAAATGAGAGGTGTCCATGAACCAGGCAGCTACATGTTTCAGCAAGGAACAAAAGTTCCTAGCTTTCTCCATGAAGATTCACCCTTTGTGACCGAATCGCCCCGGACAGATCTTTTGGCTTTTCTCCGCACCTGCAAAAACACGATGGACCTTTACACCTCGTTCGGGCGGAACCCCCCATCCCAAGCCCAACGCCGGCCTGTGCCTTTTGCAGGGCTTCCGAAGTGGGTGCCATTTCTGAGCCGTGAACGGTGGGAAAAAAGCCAATTCTTCACTTATATGGCTATACATATGTGGGGATGGTTATGAAATCCATGTCGCACCACCCCAAGAGTACCCCCCCCCCCCGGCGGCACACAGAAACACACACGCAAATTCCTATCCTCCAAGAGAGGCCTAACCTAAAGTCAGGGCCTTTTGGGTTGGTTTTGGGTCGGGTTCTCCATTGGAGGGTCCGGGGTCGGCATTGGAGGGGTCATGACTTTTAGGGAACATAGGATTTTCTCGGCGGTTCCCAGGCGTCCGGTTCAACTTACACGTTTTAGGTGTTCAGAGATTCTTCGCGCTTCGGAACCAGCGAATCCTTTGGTTCAACTTGGGTTTTTAGGTTGTTTTTGGTTGGTTGTTCGTTGTTTTTTTGGGGAGATGGTCGGGCGAAAATCCATGAAGCAAGACTTGGTGGTTCTCAGGTATCTTAGGCTTTTGGGCTTTTAGTTGGTTTAGTGGGGCTTTTCATTTAGCAAACGAAAAGCTAAACTTTAAACAGGTTGATTTGAGCACAGCCCAGTTATGTAAGAGCTTGACATGGAGAGGTAATTGTATACTCCTCCAGGCAGTTGGGTGAATTTAGATGGCGCAACTCAATCCCATCTTGGTTTCATCATCGCCTTTTCTCATCGACAAACGGGCATGTTGCTATTCACCCTTGGGCAAAGCCGTGCGTCTTAAACTAGGTGATCCCCAAATGGATGTTTCTTCAGTTTTGCTCTAAGACAACCCAAAAACTAGTCTCTCCAAAAACATACATGCAGACCTGCCCAAAGATGTGACTAGGTTTTTCAGTAGTGCCATTTTACCCTTTTTTGGGAGAGGGTTCCCCTATCAAAATAGACTACAGAGAAAAAAAAAAAGTTGGTACCCTTATTCTAACCTCTCTACTGGAGGACCTGGTCTAAGACAACCCAAACATAGCCTCTCAAAAAAATGCATACAGCCCCCCCAACCCCACTAACCCCTCCAACCCCCCAACCCGACCTACCCAAAGGTGTGCACAGCCCTCAGCCTTCCCTCCAGCGGTGCTTTCCAGGGGAATTCCTTCCGACAGGAGCTGCTTGCCCGCGAGCTGGCAGTCCGCCCGCAGGAGGAGCTGGCAGTTTCAACCATCCCATCAAGTCTGGGTGAGTTATAGCGACCTCACACGACCGAATTCACCCCAAATGGTGTTGTTTATGTGGGAATAGCCGCCCAACTACCCTGTTTCAGGTTGGTGAAATATTATACTTCACATGCAGCCATATGGACGTGTCTTTTGTTGAGGGACCGCCAAAATGCTGGTTTCCTTGTCGGTTTCCCTTTGCAACCAACCAAGACGGGGTGCTCTCAAAAAAAGACAGACCCATGTGGCACATGTTTTTGCATTTGCCGTTTCAAAATAACTTTTTTCAAGTAGGTACTCAAGATGGTGTCCACTACCCCCCAAACCACTATTTGAGGGGGAATCAAAGGTATGTGCCCTTGTATGGGGACTATATATAGTGGCTGTGTATCCGACAAAGCCTTTGGCGCAGCGGTTTGAATGCCTTTCTGAAAAAAGAACATGAGTAATGTCGACCCCAGATCTAAGTAGAACCCGTCCAATAGGGCGCTGTTTTTTCCCTCTCATTTGCTTCCCCACATTTCTCCTAGGGAAACCCCATGAATAAACTGGGGTTGCTTTATTCCGGTGTCAACCTTACGGTGGATGACAACTCAATATTGCAAGTAGGCAACAAATTGGACACCCAACGGTGGATGGTCGAAACCCTGCGCCTAAGAAACCCTGGAATGAGACGATTTTTCTGCGAATGCCAACAACCAATTGGTTTCAAAGTGGTGCGAAATGGGTTCCGCAACCATCCACAGTACGGTTTGCGGTTACTTGCCTGCACCACCTAAGAAACCTAACATGATGCGATTCCCCGTGTAAAAAACCAACAAAGACATGGATGTTAACCACGGTTTCACAGTGGCGCACGCATTTTGTCCAGCTACACCAATGTTGACCCAGGATTAGTAAACCCGTCCCATTATTAGGGGGGTGTTCCCTCCAAAAGTGGTCTGAATCCCCACTGAAAGGGGACACCCCCCGATCAAAATCGACCATAGGAGCAAAGCCTGCGGTGCCCGAACTTGGAGCGGACCCTCACACGGCTGTCCTTAGCGGCGCTGGCTGGCCTTGTGTGTGCCCACACCTCAGGCAGAGATCGAATCGCGCGAAAGACCGTTCGACGTTTTCGCGTGTTTTCCCGCATGGTTGTTTTTTTCTTTCATTCTGTCTTTGTTTGGTTGTTTTTGTCGGAGGTTCTTGTTTGCTTTTACCAATTGTTTTCGGATGTTTTCGGAGTTGTTGTTTTTGTTTTCTCCGAGGTGCCTTGTTCTTTGGACGGGGGGGGCACTTCACTGTTTCGTGGGTTCGGTTCAAGTTTTGTAGGTGCAACAAATCAGCCCGCAGCAAATGGCTGTGGGTCAAAAATAGGTACCCCAAACGGAACCCTGGTAAATGGAAAGAAGGACTAAAACCTGCGGTCCCCTGGTGGTTTGATTTTCACCACCTAAGAAACCCTGAAATTTCCAGCCCTGGAATGATAATTCCACTGTAAATGCCAACGAACAAATGGGTTCAACTGTGGTTTCACAGTGGTGCAGGATTTCGTCCATCCACCGTATCCTGACGTTTTTTTTTTCCGATTTTGGGGTACCCATTGCCTTTGTTTGGTTTTCCAAAGTTGGTTGACATACTGAAGCGCGGCGTAGCCCGAAAACTCAGTTGCCCAAAGCCGACCGTTTGACCTTGAGCACATGAAAGAAGCCAAAACAGAGTCAACCTCCCTCTAATTGGTGGTTTTGATTAGTGGTTTGGTGGTTATCCAGTTTACCCTCTAAGCCAGGAACCCGTTCAACTCCCCAAACCACCAATACCACCAATTAAGAGAAACCTGAAACAGGGGAAACTGACACTTCTTTTGGTTGGTGACCTGTGGCCCTTCACAGATTGTTTGAGCCACAATCAAAACTCGGGTAAGTGAAGCTTAAGGACAGTCACATCTATGAATGGGTGTGGGCCTTTGCCGTGGATTTGGGTAGACCATTTGATGTTGGCTCATTTGATCCCCACACAGGCGAACAGTGAGCAGTAGTTATATAGCCCTCATAGAAGGGTTATGTTATATGCGGATGGCCAAACGGTCCCTCAAGTTCTAGAAGTTCGCCAAAGTTTTCAGGGCGGGACTGCTGGCTTCCTATGGCTCGATGGTGTACTGTTGGACGACCTCCCTTTTAGCCTGTGGGAAACTGTGGGCTGGAATTCTCAGAAGAATCACCATTCCCGGGTGTCAAAGGTGTGAAATGGTTTTCGTCCATCCACAATGTGGAGTGTGGAGATCCCATCCCAGAAATGGTCTTGAACTTGAGCCATGACTTGTCCGAGGGGTTTATTGGGTGCCGTGTGTAAATGCGTAAATGGCAAACTTGCATTTGCTCCTGGACTCGGTAACTTTTTGAAATTTGGTGTTGAGCCACTTTAGCGGTAAACAAACAGTTAAGACTTTTTGTTGGCCCACTCTGAGAGTGGTCCACAGGTCAAGGAATGGTTGCGGAATCGACTTTTACCTTTGGGTTTCCCTGCTTTGGTCCATCTTCAGTCAAGGTCTAAAAAAGTGATCACAGCAAGAGGAAACACCTGTTTTGTGCATTTTGAGGCAAACTCAGTCGCGCCCATTTAGAAGAACCTCACTCCCCGAGTTCCTGGACTTTCGTCACTTTTGGGGGATGACCATTGGTCTAGGGGTACCTTCCCCATTCTTTCCAGGGATCCTTCTTCTCACGAAACCATCAAAAACCCAGGGGAAACGGCGGTTTCCGAAAAGAACGATGGTTGAAAAGATGGACAAGGAATCAGCCCCTAAAAATACGGCCTTATTTGTCTTGGGCTTCCCTGCAAACCCACCTCTTTGACACGCTTTGCGGAACAAAACCTTGGACTTCCTCGTCCCTAGGGTTCAAAACCCCCATTAGAAAAATGGTAAACAGTCCCCAGACTTGGCCCCGGCCCGAGGCCTTTGGGGACGGGGTTGGATTGGAAATTTTCAGGGCGGCTGCCCGGGCTGATGCGTGAAGCCTTGGCGGAGCTCCGGGAGTTGATGGCCTAGCCCCGCCGAGCGGCTTGCTTCTTTTTAAGGTTTCGTTCTTGGTTGTTCTATCTATCAAGAAATCTATCAACTAAGAACTTGTTGTTTCGTGTTTTTCTCGGTTTCGATTTTGGTTCTTGCATTGTTTGGTTGTTTGTTGCTTGTTTGTTGTTTTGTTTTTTTGTACGTTCGTCTATCAAGAGAATGTTGACCCCATATTAACTAGGTCTCCCAGTAGTGCCCTTTTACCCACGCTCTTTTTTGGTTGGTAGGGTTTGCCTACTAAAATAGACTACAGAAAAAAAAAGGCTACCCGTATTCCAACCTCTCTACTGGAGGACCTAGGTTCGGTTGGGTACGTTCATCTATCAAGATAGGTTGAGGATTGTTTTTTTTTGTTGGGGGGGGGTGCGTGTTTTTGAGGATGCCTGTCAATTGAGCTACATGATGGTGCTGAAAACGCACCCAGCGTGGCTAACAGACGCGGATTTGTTTCGGCGAAGGTGAAAGGAGAAAAGGTTGGGGTAGGTTCATCTATCATTCATTTTCCCTCCAATTGGTGGCGTTGGAGGCCGGGGTTTGGTTAAGGAGGGGTTTTCCATTCCCCCCCACAACAACCAGGGGCTCAAATCTGAATCCAAACCAATCCAAGCACCAACTAAGGGTTGCCTGTGGTTCATCTATCAGGTAACCACAATTGGTGGCTTGGGGATTGGAACCCTTGGTTCTGCAGAGTGCAACCAAGCCATGTGCAGCTGTGTGTGTTTCTAGTTTTCATTTATGGGTAGTTTTTTGTTTGTTTGAGGGTTCCCTATGATTGATTTGATGATTCTTTTGGGGAACCCTTTTTTGGTTGACACGCCAAAGGGGTGTGGCTTACAATAGGAATCGGACCCCAAAGAAGCAGCTTCGGTTTTCATGTTGGCTTCCCTTTAACCCCTAAAAAGGTACCAAGAACACAAGACACAGCCACATCGTTGCATGTGTGTGTGTGATTTGTTTCACTTGCCCAAGGCCGGCCGTTTTAACCTTTTGCTTTCCCTGATTTGGTTCAGTTTAGTCAAGGTCCCAAATCGTTGTCCTTTTGTTTCCAGGTCCTCGAGAGAGAATCAGAGGTGATTTTAAAGGCAGGTTCATCAGTTCCAATGTCTTCCCCCTTTTAAGGGGCTGAAACATACCGTGAGTTCCCCTTCAGTGCGGTGATGTAAGGCGGACTTTATATGTGTCTTGTTGTTCGGATTTGGACCCCTCCCCAAACTGTATAGGTCCGTATATGGCCGTTGTGGACCTTTTGGCAGATTTCCCACACTTAAGACACAAGTAGCGATGAATTCTCCCAGAAAGGAGTTCACAGTTCAGGGGTTCATAGATTGGCATGTGCATTTCCAGCCTTTGAAGCTTTCCCCATGTTTTGCTCTTTCTTTTTTTTTCGAAAAGAATGGGCGGGGTGATGCCTCAAGCTGCGCACCATGTGGTCCGTTTGGCTGGGCTTCCAGTTCGGGGCCTCGAAACAGCCGCGGCTTGCTCCCATGGGCCCAGCAACCAGCTCGGTGTGACTTGCCACGTGCACCTTGGAACCGTCCAAACCAGGACCCCTAACGTCAGGTGGACAGAAATGTGGGCCTCGTGGAATTCAACGGGCTTTCCATTTCGCCTCAGGTGATTGACCCTTAAACCTTCTTCGGACTGGCTAAAGAGTTGATTCCACGTCGAGGTCAAAAGGAAGCCAAGGCAAGCCAAACTTGCATAGATGCCCTTTTGATCGCTTACTTTGATTAGAAATCGATGACATCCACTGTAGACGGGGAAGCATGCCATCCATTTAGCAAACGCAAAAACATCAATTTCACCAAAAGGACAGCGATGCTCACTATCTCACTTCTCCAAAGCGAATTTACCTTTGGACTTTTAGGTCTTCCAATTCTGACCGGTTCCTAAGGGCGAACCCGGGTAGACGAAGGTTAGGGGCAGTCCCAGTCGGAAATAGCTGCGGAATTCCGCCTTCTTAATTCTCTACATGTTTCTGGGTTCACCATTTTTGTGCCAGGTTTTGATTGTGACTCAGTTGTGCCCTTCGGCTTTTGAACTTTTGGGGTTTAGTGGGGGTCCATTTAACCTGCTAAAAGTGAGTCACTTGCAGGGGATCTGAAAACGGAGCCCAGGTTTTTCATGGGCCCAGGTTCACCTCGTATTTCCAGGTCCTATGGGCAAGCGAGTTTTCACGTTCCCCTTGAGTTCCCTTGATCAGAACACGTACAAGCTCAACACACCCCTTTTCCCAAGGCTCCTTAGAAGATACATTTTGCAACCATTTGAAGCATGGCCTTTTCCACTAAGGGGAAACCACCATGGACAAGGCAATGTTCAGGTGTATAATGTAAGGATCCCCGTTTCCCCTCCAAAAAGTATCTACTTTAGTTTTCCCAAGGGCAAATTCCAGGAGGGGTGTAATCTGTGGGATGCTTGTCCTTGGCTCGCAAGCTGGAACGCACTTGTGACAACCCATTCGAGTGGGTGGTGTCTTGGGTGTTTCTTTGCCTGTTACCTTTAGCCATGCAACATACAGCTGGTTTGAGTTTCAGTGGTCGCGGAGTCTATGCAACAACCACATTGCGCACGCTGTCACGCCAGCCACTCCTCCAAAGGACACGCATTCCATTGCGTCGCGGGTCGACATAAGGGGTGAACAGATTGGGGGTTAGCCTTTAGATACCTTTAGAAGGAGTCTTTTTGTGGCAGCGTAAACGTGCGTACTTATCTGTGTTTGGTTAGCTACAAAAAGTTGCACGTGCCAACGAATGCATTTAACGTTTCAGCTGTTGCTCCGTTCCGGGTCCATTGGGTGAGCGAGCAAGATTTGTGAAGCGAGATGCGAAGCGAGCCTTATGCCTGATTTAAGGCAGAAGGCGACGCAACCTGCGCTAATCGAAGACACATCTGTGCCTTCACTCGTCAAATCTAGGTACGGGGGTACCGTGGGAAAAGTTGGCCTGACTCACTTGCCCAAAGCGAGTCGACCTTTAAACCTTTGGGTTTTCCATTCCGCTTTGTCGAAGTCCCAGAGCTTTTCCTTTTGCCGGATCCTTTGGGCAAGTCAGCGAAAGAAGGTGGATCTTTCCTTCCCAGAGGCTCCAATTCGATTGATAAAGCTTGGCTTCAAACATGGGTTTTGAGCCTTTCAACCACCGGTGAGCGGGGTGTCTAATGGGGTTGGGTTTTTCCATAAGCCGAAGCCAGCCTCTGGGTGCGGTTCCCTCCTGCCTGGCTCAGTTTGTCCACGAAGGACGCTTTCCCTGGGCCAAAGAAGGCGGATGAGCCCGACCGCGTGACTTTCATCTGCCATAGCCTGGGATGTGGCCAACGGGCAACAGTCAGAGCTGCCTGGCTCTGACGGTTTGATGATCCAAACTTGGTTCAGATTTTCTGGGATCAGTAGGTCTGGGTGAATTATAACGACCGAATTCACCCCAAATGGTGTTGTTTATGTGGGAGTAGCCCTTCCCCCAACCACCGTATTTCAGGTGGGTGAAACATTATTCTTCACCCAGATAGGTTTCCTTTTTAGATCTTAGTTTGGCCAGATTCTTAGATGCCACTGGCTCACTGCCGGGGTTTCTGGACTTTAGTCACTTTTTGGGTTTGGACCATTTTGGTGGTAAATAAAAGGTTTGGACTTTTTGTTGGGAAACCCACTGGAAGTGAGTTGGTTTTGATGGGCTTTATGCCCCATTTACCAGGGAATCCAATCGATGTGTCCAAAAGCCACCTATGCAGGGATCTGTTTCTTACTTCTTCAGTTTCTAGGTCCCCCAGTTGTGCCCTCTGACCCTTTTTTGGGGGAGGGTTCCCCTACTAAAATAGACTGCAGAATAAAGTTAGTACCCTTCTTCTAGCCTCTCTACTGGAGGACCTAGTCGTGCTTGCAATGTCCGAGACCGGGAGTGGGGTCATGAACCGGAATTCCGTAATTCCTGAAAGAAAGCCATAGGTCGGATGGGTTTTTCTTTTGGGATGATTCCCTTTCTCATTCCCTGCCTCTGGAACCAGCAAAGCTTCTAAACTTTAAACATTTTTTGTTGCCAGAAGTCATCTTCATTGTAGCCTGGAGCCAAACAAATACCCCAACTTATTGTGCAAGCCACTACAATGGCAACCCGCCAAAGGGACAAGTCCAAAATGGAACTCAGGAAGTGAGTTGTTTTTTGTTGGGTGGGGTAGCCTCGGGCCAAAAAAGGCGAACTTTTTTGGCGGTCAACTCGGTAGGTCAGCTAAATGAGATGATGTGCACCAAAGACTGGACTCAACCAGCAGGTTTGTTGGCAACTGCCAGCCGTGCAGTTCCTTAGGTTTTTAATTGTTTCTAGTTGGCTTACGTACAGTACATGAATTCTCAAAAAACGGAAAAGGTTGGCTTATCTAGTTGGCTTATTTTTCCTTAGGTTGTTTATTATTTTTACTTGTTAGACTACGGAAACAAGTTGGTACCCTTGTTCTAAGCTCTCTACTGGCGGACCTAGCCATTTGGGGGGGTAGGGGGTCTACTCACCGATAACCTGACATGTGCCCATGTGGCAGCTTGATAATTCCCGGGCAAGGGAGAGATATGCTCGGGGCTCGCGCCCGCGAGCAACACAGAGACACTTGAGTGTGAGGCAGATAATCCATACTGTTAATGGACAAAGTCCTGTACCACGAAATGATACCATGGTTGAAACCACAACGTTTTTTGTGTGTTTTCGTTGGGCGATCGAACATCATTTTTGGGGTTTCTGAGTTCGGATGGAATTCGCAACCATCAGCCCACGTTGCCACAGATCCAGCAGGCAGCTTGAACAACCGGAGCGATGCGACTATTTAATTCATCGACCCGAAAGTGTTCCGTACGAATCCAAGAAGCCTGGAGGGCCTTGACGCTGGGTCATTAAAGTGAACATGTTGGATGTCATTGTTTTTCAATCATGGGTGTGTGTTCCTGTCGGACCCACTGAGATCAGTTGGAGGTTCGACCAACATGACTTTTCTCAAATAGTGTTTGGATTTCATTTGAAGCCACAACTTAGCACGGGGATTTTTGGAGGGATGTCGCTTTAATGGACCCGGTGGTACTCCTCGTTTTATGCGGGAGGGCGCTGGCTGTGCCTCTTCCCCCTTCAGAAAAGGATAAATTAAATGTATCGTAGGTGATGGATCAGCTACACGTGTATGTTTCTAGGAGTAGCTTCCCGATTCTTTCCAGGGATCCGTCTTTCTAGAAAACCACCCAAAACCCTGAGAAATGGCAGGTTTTTGAAAAGAACGATGGTTGAAAAGAAAGGGGAATCAAGCACTTTCTATATTCCCTAGTAAGTTTGTGTTTCTAAAAAAAAATCAAGACCGGAGTATTACTTTGTGTTCAAGATCAAGTCCGACTTTTCAGTGATTGGACGGACAAAGATGGGGGTGGTTTGGGGGGGGGTCCTTTGCTTGCTGGTTCGATTGGCAGGGATTGAGAAAGGGAATGACCCCGAGAAAGGCAATCCCCAAGATGGTTTCCTTTATCCGGGAATCTTCCGGTTCATTCCCAACCCTGTTGCTTCCATGCTGAGAACCAGCCCTCTTTAAAGACCCCCAAAATGTGTTTACAGAATCCAGACGGTAGGCAACAAAGGGGGTTCCTTAGGGTTCCCTACTGATGGAAATTTTGCACCACCTCAAAAGCCCTGGAATGATGCCAACAAACACTGGCTTCACCATAGTTTTATTTCGTGGTGCGAACGGATTTTGTCCATCCACAGTAGGGTTTCTTAGGCAGTCTTTGGGAATCATCCCTCAAAATTCCGTAAGGTTTCTTTTCTCAATTCATGTGGAGGACCGTGCTAGTCAGAGGTGGTTCACCTAGTACCCAAGGAACAATAACTATCTTTGGCGTGTTGCTTTGACTACGGCCTATTTAGGTCGCCTTCTTTTTCTTTTTTCTTTTTTTGCGTTCCTTTGACGAGGGCCTTTTTTTGGGTACCGTGGTTTGGATTGGTGAAAAACGGGGGTGCAGGAACCCCACTTCCTTTTGAAGCGTGGGGCAGCTGACCACCAAACCAAACCACCTATTGTCGGGTGGGGGTGAGGTGATTATGGGAGGGTTTCCCCAAAATAGACTACAGAAAAAGTTGGTACCCTTATTCTAACCTGTCTACTGGAGGACCTAGCCAAAAAGAGTGCCGGCCAAAAACGCAACCCTTTCTTTTCTTGAAAAAGGAAGTGCCACCCAGTTTGTGGCAACTCCATTTCCCTCTACTCTCCCAAAGGCAGGCCAATGCTTGACAAGCTGGATTAATAGTTGTCCGAGGATTTGCCATGCTGCAGGGTGTGTCTAAAAGCATGGGGATCCCCAAAAACGGATTCCTTGCGGTTTCCCAGTAGAAACGATGCCCCTGTTCAGCGCACTCCCTGAGTTTCGTCTCGGACTTTAGTTGCTTTCTTGGGGAAACCGGCGAAACCAGCGAATAGACAAAACATGGTCACTTGTTTTTTGTCCAATCCCGTTTGCGCGATCCGCCGTGAAGGGCTGTCAAGGAAAATGGGCGGTGTCCTTTTGGTTTCCCTCTAAAGCTTCCATTTGTTTAAGAAGGTTTTTGATTCTCCATTGTTGGTTTTAAAGGGAATCCATCGCTACTGGACAGATTTTCCGGGAAGCGAAAAAAGCAGATGGAAGAAACTGATGCGCCCTTTTTGGTGGTTCCCCTAAAACAGACACACCCATACATCACCAGCGCCTACGTGTCCTGAACACACGAGCAATGGAGCAGGACATGGATGGCGATGTGGGTGTGGCTCAAGCAAGAAAAGGAGCCGCGCCCGTGTGAAGGCTTGAGCAAATCCAGCGGTGCAACTCTTTTCCCTTGGACATCAACCAAGCCTCACTTGCCCAAAGCGAATCGAGCTCTGGACCCTTTGGTTGTCCAATCTTGGTTCAACTGCCTTCTACTCCTGAGGGAACTGGGACGAAAGGGTGCCAATTTTTCTTTGGAAATCCACAAAGGGTCTGGAGGAGCCGCTAGGCAGTCCCATGGCAAAAGTCCTGGCAGAGTCTTGAAATGTTCTAGCTTGACCTTTGAGCCTTTGAGGGCTCTCCAAATCGAGGACGTCTCTACCTCTTGGACCAAATCCAACTGCCCGTCATGGGTCCAAACATGATATTAAAATAGACTGCAGAAAAAAGTTGGTACCCTTATTATCACCTCTCTACTGGAGGACCCAAATCCAACTGCCCCTCATGACAAGGGATGGGGCATGAGGGTCCAAACCTGATTTTGAGCGCTTTGCTCGGCTCTCGGTTTCGCCTCCCGGCCACTTTTGCTGCTCTTGCTTCCGTCCGGACCCGGAACCCCGGAACCCGGACGGCCCGCGCCTCGAGCGGACCAGGTGCAAATCCCACGTTCCCTCCGTTTCCCCTTTTTTGGCACTCAATTCTTGCTTGGCCCAAGGGACCATTTTAGTGGTACAGCCCACGAGTCTTTTCCTAGACGTTTTTGGAGCCCCGCAAGTGAGGTAACACCAAGTACCACAAAGAAGAGGTGCCTTGTTTCCCCCCAAATCTGGGACCAAGCCGCCTGGTCTGACGGGCTTCGGGCCGCCCGATTCCCGGATGCGGATCGACTCTGGCCGTCTTCCGGAACTCCATGGGACATCGACTTCCTTTCTTCCCATCGGCGTGCTCTCTTTTCAGGGGCCTTTCTTTCTTCTGGCATAAGGCTTGGATTGTTTGTTTTTTTGGTTTTTCTTGGTCTTGTTTTTGTTTGTTGGTTGTTTGTTTTGTGTTTCTTAGTTTTGTTTGCGGGGGGGGGGGGGGGTGGTGGTGGCGGTAGGGCTTCTTTTGGGTCTCGGCCCCCAGCAACCATACTGGAGTTTCAACCATGGCAACTTCGTGGTGCGAAACGGGTTTCCTCCAACCACAGTATTACGCTCCCAACTGACGCAGGGACCTTGAAGAGAAGAACCATCTTCCAGGTACCCTCCCACAGGTGCTATGTTTGTTGGAGGGTACGCCCGGGGAATCACCCTATAGCATCTATGTCCGGTTATTATGATTACCAAAATTATTGCTATTATTTATGGCTATGTTTTTTTTTTTGAAATAATAAAAAACAAGAAAAAACATGTAATCAACAACTGGGATATGCTTTAGGTGTTGGGATTGTGTTAGTGTAATTCCCTATTCCCAGGCTGTACTAAATATCAGCTCCAAGGATAAACCCAACGAAACAGTTCCTCGCCGTGTTTTGCTTGAAAGCCCTGGATTTTCCTGCTGGTCACTTTACATAGTTGTTGTATGAGGATCACTCCTAATTTTGCAATAGAGGGGCATACCAACTACCAGACGAAGGTGATGTTTCTTTCTTACTTGGGCCGTTGTTTTTCTCCTTTTTTCTTTCCTTCAACCGTTTGTATGGCGTGTCAAGGTTTAGCCTTTTTAACTCGGCCCAGCCTTTTTTTGGCTGAGCCGAGCCACAGATGGACTTCCAGCAGTTGCACAGGGCCGGTGGAGAGTACCCACTTTTCTTTGTTCAGGCATCCACGAATTGGTGGTTCGGAGCCCGGTGGTTTATATTGGATTTGAACCCTTGCTGTTTGGAGAGGGTAGATCAGAAACCCTTCCGGAAGATCATTCAAGCATTAATCCAAACCACCAGTTAAAGGGAGGCTGATTTGTGGCTATCGGTAATGGATATCTCCACCGGCCTGAAGCATGGTTGATTGGGGGATGTCGACCCCTGGAGATGTCCATTTGTAGTTCCATTTTCCCTTCTGTGGGAGAAGACTAGGCGAATGGTTGCCTTAAGATAGGGGATGACAGGATCTTTGGACTGAAGAACTTGTTGGTTGAGACTTTGAGGATGTTCCGTGGGACCAACAAAAAGCGAAACACTTCTTGTAGTGGTCAAAAGCAACCAAGTTTTCAGGCTCCTTTCAAAGTCTTTTTTTTCTTTGTGGTTAACAGGGGGGTCCAAAAGGACCGAACCTGTTCCATGCTAGGGGGGGGGGGACGGACGGACATGTCAACCCAATGCCAACTTCGGAGTCAAAAGCACACCAAGAAGGTGGCAACATAAGGCATGGATGAAGCTTTCACAAAAAATGGAGCTCCGTCAGCCACACCGACAGGAAGTTGAGGATACGAGGTTCCGAGTGCGGGCCAGATCGAGTTTGGAGTTTTCTTACTTGGACAAAAAGGGGGGGTGTTTCTGGGTCGTTTCAAAAAGCTCGTCACAAAATCAAGTTCGGGCTGCAGAGTCAGCCCCAAACCATGGGTATGATGTTGCGTCCCGATCTGATGTTGGATGAAGGTTAGATTGCACACCCAGATGGGGAACCCAACAACCGGGCGTCCTTCCTGGGCTCCCCAAATTTTGGACACCCCACCTCCAAGTGGATCTTTTGAGCGGCTGAAGGCCGTTCTGTCACAAACGCGTGGCTGAAGGCAAATGCTGGTCGGTGGGTGGGTGGCTGAACGAAAGCGAATTCAGATCAGTTGATATTCGAGTCACAACACAACTTGCAGCAACTATGGCGTGTTCCAAGGTTTCCCTTTTTGGTGGCATAAACATCGTAACATCATCGTTTGGGCCAATTTACAGCCAGTTTCCTGGTCCCCCAGTAGTGCCTCTTCTTTTTTTGAGGGGGGGTAGCGTTCCCTACTAAAATAGACAACGGAAAAAAAAGGGTACCCTTATCCTAACCTCTCTACTGGAGGACCTAGTTTTGGTGGGTGATGTTAAGGATGTAAAGCGGGATCATGTACCATGGGATTCCATGAAAGGACCCATGGCTCGCTGCACTGATATGCCGAATGTCAGCCTCATGGTGCAGTTGTCTCAGCCACCCTGCCTGCAACATGGCATTTGGATCGCCATCATGTGGTGGCCCCGCCTTGGTTGTCCAAACTGGATGGACGTTTCATAGCTTCGGACCTTTTCACCTGTTGGCTTTCCACTTCCCAGAACTAGCTCCCCTTTCTGAGTTTTATTGCTTTTTTGGGGGTCCCTGTATTGTCCACGAACCGGGCCAAACAATATGTTTGCTGGTCCTAATTCCAGCCAAGTCTTGGCAGTCCGCTTCAGTCCCTCCGCGGGCTCGGGCTCGGGAAAAGACGCAAACGGCTCCTTTGGGCAACCGAGTTGGCCGCCGGATCAGCAGTAGCCTTCGCATTTTGGGGGGGTGTTCCCTCAAGTGGAACAAGGGGACGCCCCCACCCCGGATCTACCGCGCTTCGTTTTTATCTAGGTCCCCCAGTGCCCTTTGACCGTTTCTTTTTGGGGGGAGGGATCCCCAACTGAAAAAGACTACAGCAAAAAGGGCACCCTTATTCTAACCTCTCTACTCGAGGACCTAGTCTGGGGTCAAGTTTAGACTGGAGCCGAACTTCCGAACTCCAGGTCACTTTTGCTGCTCTTGCTTTCTGGTCCGACAACAGTTCGAACCATGGGCAACGCCTCCAGAAGCTTCCCACGGCTGTCGTGTACTCCTTGGCGGTTTTGTATGCCAGGCTTGTTTGGGTAAGTTTGAAGGGAAACCAAAGCTTCACTGTTCTTGGATCATGTTTGTTTAGTCTTTTCAGTTTTTTGGGTTCTGTTCATTTTTACTGGGGGTCTGCAAAAAAAGCCGTCAGTTTTTTTCGCTAATCCATACCAAGAATAGAGATGAGAACCAGAACCTGCCGGTTTCGGGGGCAAACCCTAATTTTGAGACAGAGATGGGGCAGGGTTCCCCATATTTCCCTTTTCGGTGGTTTGAAACATCACCGTTTTGGCCACTTCAAAGTGAGGAACCCTTTTGGGGGTGATGCTCAAAAGGGTATTTTTCGGGAGCCGGGGAAAGTCATATCGACTTTTTAACCAGGAATGGATCCCATGCAGGCAGGTGGCCTTTGGAACATTTCCTGGAAGATCAACTCCCTTTCGCAGGGCCCTGTCATACTGTGGATGGTTGCGAAATCCTTTTAGGCACCACGTGAGAAACCCGGAAATCATGATTCCCTTGTAAAAACCAACCAACAATGGCTTCCTATGGTTTCCATTTGGTGCAGTGCTGCAGGATTTCGTCCATCCACAGTATGAGAAAACAGCCCAATACCCAGCGATGCAAAGCAGACTCTATGACTGGACATGGCTGCAAAACCACAACGGTAGCCCCAAAGACGGTACCATTCTTGCACAACAGATGTTCTCCGATACTCGCACGGCGAGCGTCTTTTCTTGGGAACCTCCTTTTGGTTGGTTTCGAAGGGAAACCAACAGGAGAGCAGTCATTTTAGAGGTTCACCCCTATTTGGGTGTGGTTCAAAATTAAACAGGAGGGGTTACGCAGATTTTGGTCCATGTGTCCACTTACCAGGGTTCCATTTTGGTACATTGATTTGAGCCACAGCCATTTTGAAGAGCAACCCATTGTGATCTGCACCACGGGTTGCTTTGGGCTCGCCATTCAACCTGAGAGTTTTCAACACACGACAGCCCTGGAAGTGCGTAGTGCGTGCCCTGCATGCTTGATCGCCGATACAAAGTCGGCATTGATAGATGAGGTGAGATCTCAGGCCCATGGGGAGTCGGGGAGACGAACTTCGGCCTTTCATGAGGCCCTCTGGCTTTTGAAAAGAAGGGTACTCCTGAGTTGCTTGATTTTGGCTCAGGGGGGTCACACGGTCGCAGTTTGACCAGATCTTTTCTTGACTGCAACTGGGTTGGATCTTTAGACTTTAACTTTTTGGTTGAAATCAAGTTGGGTTTTCCACTAAACCCCCAACAAGTTTTCCACTTTTTGCAGGGGGGTGGTTGCAGCAACCAAGTGTTGTTCCTTGTTGGGCCTGAGCTTATCCCCATAAACCCGGAGATCCACCTTAGCCTCCACACTGGGCAAGCAAAAAAATGCGCCGGAGTGATGAGGACTCTCCTGGAGCCTAAACTCAGTTGTTCAGTGGCACCCTTTTTCCCTTTTTTGGGGGTGGCTGCCCCACTAAAAACGGTTCTCCCCAAGAAGGGTTCCCTTTTTTTCCAGGGTCACTGAACAACTTCCACCAGCCCAGGGCATTTTCAGGTATGGGGCTTGCCATGGACGCGTATGCGCCATGAATAGAGGCGAGCAAAGAAGGCACATGGACATGGCCGTTCTTGTTGCACTCTTGCAACTCAAGACAGGAACAGGGGACAAAAAACACCAGAAACCACGTGTGTTTTGTGTTTTGCAATCTATATTTGAATCAGCCGATTTATTTTCGAACCATGCGGCCTTTGAACACGCTGGGGCGTTTTGAGCTTGCTGACCTCTAGCTTGGAAATCGAGCTCAAGGCATAGTGAGCTGTAAAAAAAACGTTTAGGAGTTGTTCCATTGCGCTTGGGAATGCGTTGTTGCCCAGTTTTGAAAGGAATACATTTCACTGGACATCATCTCATTTTCCTATTTGCGCATTTGCAAATGGAAGGCGGATACTTGTTGGGACGACTGGTTTCTTTCTTGTTCAGGCCCGAACTGGACCTAGCTTGATGGTTTCCCTTGAAGGGATCTCTGGTTTATTCACAACTGATCGAGCGATTTTGTTACCCCATGATGAAGGCTCCTTCCTTGGGATTGAGCAAATCTTGGCACGCTTTCTAGTTGTTTCTCGCCTTGTTCATGAGCAGAGTGGACGAGCCACAAAACAAAAGCGGTTGAAATCAAGTTGGTTTTCCATGAAACCCACAGTCAGTTTAACTTTTTCAGAGAGGTCGTTGCAACAGCCAAGGTTTCGTTTGCTACCATATGCAAAAGTTCTCGGGTTTGATTCCACATTCGTTTCGAGCATCGTTCTTTCCAAAAACCGGCCGTTTTCCAAGGGTTTCCGGAGGATTTGTGGAAAGAAGGTTCGGAGTCTATCCAAGCTTGACCGCAGCTCAAGCGTCGATGTCGCAGCAAAGGGGCTGCGGCTGCGGCCGGTAATGCCGCCGCTCGCGCGCCTGCGAGGTCCTCTGGCGCCGCGCAGATGGCAAAGGCTTGGTACAGAAGCATGTCCACAGAGGGATCGATCTGGGAGTCTCTCTAGATTGGGGGACCCCAAAATGGCGAAATGGTACGGCTTTCCTTCTGGTTTGCCTTGAAAATAGGTTTTCCCCGAAACAAAGACACACCCAAATTTTGGAGCGTCTTGTGGTTGGCATGTTAACCGGCGGGTTTAAGGGAGACCATTTACCCGCTTACCCTCGAGCAACATGGAGGTTTTCAATTACAGTTGCTACTTAAGGGAGTCTCCGAAAGGAGTCCAACCATTTTATGGGGACCTTTATTTTGCGAAGCACCAACTTGGGCTTAATTACTTGGATGACCACCCACTGCCTTTTCCCTTTGGGTTTCGAGCTCAGTTCGGGGTTCCAAAACGAGAGGCAGGTCCCCAGCTCCAGAATTTAGAAACCAACGGCCACTGATGTTGACCATACT